GAATAAAAATGACTTACATGACGATTAGATTTGTAGTTTAAATGAATCTATAAGAGTTGCCAGGCTTCTAGGAGAGGCTTTAACTGTATAACAACTTTGATTTAAATACAAAATTTTAGACATGTTATTAGGTTCCATTTGTAATTTCCTTTCTTTTGTATTGTGTCTTTTATCATTCAAAAATCATAATTACTGAGAAAAAGAAAAAAAATCCTTACACAGTGCTGCTTAGAATGATGTGTCTGAACACTCTTTGAATCGGAAAGATTCAGATTCAATTTATTACCACTTGTAATAAATGCAGAAAAATATTTCTGGCTTTGACCATAAGACTATTTTTACATTTATTTAAAATATTTTATACTGATTTGCAATATATTTGAACAATAAAAATATGAAATATAATTAAAACGGCAGCATGAAATGTTAGATAATGCCACAATAAAAATATCTAACAGAGAAGCTGAATATCCATTCATTTAAAAGCACAAGGTTACAGAAATTGTAAAACAATTCTAAAGTCGAAAACCCCAAATATAATTGGAAACTCTTTTATACTGTAATTCCCCTTCTTTCTCTTCAGATCTCAAAATACTCACTGGCTCATCATCGCATTTACCTTCTAAAATTTCTTATTATCTCTCACAAGTCATGAAGACTGCAGGAGAGAGGAAGATCAAAAGATGGTCATAGCACTATCACTCCAGTTGAAATGCCTTGTTTGAAATCTCCACAGACTCCATTGGCACCTTCACACAAGTAAAGGCACAGAGAAAAAAATGTCACATGACAACCGCAGTAAATTGATGAACAATATTATTTATTTCCTACAAGAATTATTATCTCACAAAATTTTCTAGGTACACAAGAGTGGAACTTTACAATGGCATTAATGAGAATAACCACTGGATCCCACTTGGGAGAACAGTTTATGATTAGTGGACTATATTTTTTCATTGGTCAAAATGGTATACTGTTAAGAGACCACAAGAGGACGCCCTCACTTTAGAGAACATTCATGATTGGAGCTGGATAAGAATGCATAGCATTCCTCCAATTTAATTGTTGCATTTTTTCTTATTTTGCTTTGTGTTAATAAAGTTTTTAAAAGAATACACTTTCAATTTTCTAGTTAGAAAGCTGGAGTGCTGAACTTCAATTGTCCAAGTTCAAACTGAAGCTCATGGGTGAGCATACTGATTATTTTTGAATCCTGTACTCCTTCCTCAATCAATCCCAAATAGATACTATTCTAACAATATTGTTTCTACGTGCTATCTTGTTGTTGTTAGAAATATTTAAATCACAACTTATCTAATGTCAGTGTATTAAATAAGTGTAAGGAAGGGGAGGAGTGAGCGAGCAATTTTTCTTTTGGGAAGTTTTTATAAAATGTCTATTCCACTTTATCATTAAAAGCAATCTCAAAATTGAGGGGAGATTTCCCATTTTAAAGGATTAATTAATTAATCTAATTGGAAAACCAACTGAAATTTAATATCCCAATTTTCTTTTTACACCATTGAAAATTCATGAGAAAGGATGCTGCTTTTGCTTGAACTTTGCTACAGAATTTCAGCAGCATGATTTTGGGAGCCAGAAAGTTTGCAAAAAAGGTTTCAGTGACTGGTTTCAGAACTGACTTCCAGTTCTAAAGTAGCTTACAGCAAACTTGTTTTACTTGACTCTGTGTGTGTGTGTGTGTTTGTGCGTGTATGCCTGCCTCCAGATAGTGTTGACTCTTGGCAACTGCAGATAACTCCCTGCAGTTTTCCTCTCAGGATTTCGGAAGTGGTTTGCCATTGCCTGCTTCCTAGAGCTGCAAGAGAGTGACGGGCTCAGGGCACCCAACTGGCTTCATGACTAAAGTGAGACTAGAACTCAAAATATCCTGATTTCTAACCTAATGCTTAACCACTACACCAAATTCATAAGTCTCTCCTTATAAATTTAGTGGGCCATAATTCCAAAGGCTGAAGTACAAGTTGCACCAACAAAATGCTTAGGGAAGTTAAGTGTCAAAGGATTTCGTCTTTCTAAAGATTATGGGTGAAAGTAATGGCAGAACAGCCTGCTGGTAAAACAACTTCCTGTTGCCAGAAACATAAAAAGTAAAATTTTATTGATACATATTACCTTGCCCAAAGCAGGATACCATAGTATTAGAAGAGCCACATAACCACCTTGTGTGTTTTGGTGATTGAACAAAAGTATTCAATGGGTTTCATGGTTAAGGGAAAAATCTGAACTCTTGATTCCTAAAATCTAGGCCTACCATATACTTCTTGGGATAAAGCTAACTGGGCTATTCTACAGCAGAGTTTACAGCTTAAGGAGAAAAAGTTGATGGTACAGTGAAAATGCAACTAGTGGCTAATTACTTGACAACTATCTGTGATCCAGCACTGTGAATTTTCTCACAGAATCCAGGTCAAATCTTTTGCAAACAAGAATCCATTATAAAAGAGGATTACAGCCATCAGAGTTGAATTGAGACCCCCTCATAAAATTGAGGGCTGAGGCTTTACTGAAGTCTACAAAAGCTACAAGCAGGGCCACTGGCCCCAACCCTTCATTTGACTTACCACCTGGTTGCCCAACTGCTGATTCCAGTTATTTGTAAAAATCATTCACTGTGGGAGTTTTTAGAAGCTTTGATGATTTAGAGCTATTGTTAGTACCTGGGTGTGAATTGTGGCTCCCTGTCACCAGCACAAAAGGTAGGACAAGAGCTATTCCTTCTGAACTCTGATCAAGAAAGAAGGGGTGGCAGAGAGAAAGAAAAAAATCATTACCTTCAATAAGATCATCTAGTCTTACCTTTGGATGGGTCAAGAATTGTCTTTCAATTCATACAATAACCAACACATTCAACTGAGGTTATCTTCTAAAAAGTATAACTACAATTCAGAGAACAAACCCTTCAAAAGCAGCTACATTTCCAATTATCATCGGTATCATCAGTCCTCAACTGGCTCATGTACAGTATCCAGTTGGAAAGAAATAGTAATTGGAATTAGTGCAAGTGTGGCATAAAAGCTCATGTTTTTCATCTTCCAAGAGTCTATTGGTTAACCTTGAGATGTATTTTACAAGTAACTCAAACTACCTATCGGTCTTTTTGCCAAACCAAGCAGCATGCACCTGTCAAGTCTCTAAGTCATATGTATCCAATCCACAGCCTGCAGGCCACAGGTGGCCCTAGACAGCTAGTAACGTGGCCCCATAAGATTGTAAACTTTTAACATTATGTAATATATATATATATATACATACATTTACTATAGTATATATTTTATACATGGCCCAAGGCACTCAATGCAACCCAGGCAAGCCAAAACGTTGCATACTCATTCTCTAAGCTTTTCCTTCTTTGCACCTGCTTTTTTCAAAATCCTTTCAATGGCAGCAACAATATATAAGGTACTCAAATGTTGATCACTCATAGTCAATATGCAGTTTTTAGTTGATAATCTCCGGCTCCTTCTGCATTGATCATTAAATTATCATAAGCTATCACAAAACATTAAATTAAACACAAAGAAGAAATTATCTAGGAGTCTCTAAAGTCAAAAGAGTGGAAATCATAAAAACAGGATGGCAAGATACTGGAAAATTTAGATTTAGGAAAACAAATCTAAAGCATTTTCAGATAGCTGTTCTATCCCTGCTTAACAATCAGAGAAAAATACCTTTAATGACTGCCTTACACAGTGAATGTTTGAAGTTACGACAGGGATGAAAAAGCAACTTTGCAACCGATCCTTTGCTGAAGTAAGATCATTTCACTTAGTGACTGCTTAACAACTGAGTTGTCAGTCCCAACTGTAATTGCTAAAAGAGGATTAGCTGTAAATTTCTTCCATTTTTCTTGATGCTAAAAATTTACCTAAACAGACAAATAAAAACAAATCTTGCTGCAATGTTTTCACTTCATTTATCTCCTATCTTTGACCTCAGGGAAATTTTGACCAAAGTTCCAACATCTGGTGTCTTTATGGTTAATATGTACTCTGCAAATACAGAAATCTATTTCTCTGATGCTATTACTATTTGAAGAATATTAAAAATATATTCCTTAAAATGGAACTTAAGCTAATTAATAAGAAATTAATTATGAAGTGCAAATAATGAATTGCCTTTTCTTTCCATAGATCAAATGCAGCTCCAGAACCACGTATGATTCTTGGCCTAATTTCATTCAATCCTCTGCCTAATTTCAAGCGTCTTCTGCAAATTATCAGATTTCCAGCAGCCTGCAAGAAAGCAAATTTGGTGACAAAAAGAGGAAGCCCTGTCCTTTAGCCCCAGCAATTTTTAAATTAATTATTAGATTTACATGCCATCTTTATTTTGTACAATTCAAGATGTTGTACATTAACCTCCTGCCTATTTTTCTTACAACAACCCTATGAGATGGATTAGGTTGAGAGTGTAATTAGCCCAAAGTCCTCCAGGCAGCTCTGCAATGTACTGTACATATAGTCTTCTGAAGTGGTCTTTCCCATAGGAGATCTCCAAAATATTGTAAGGATAGTAACTCTGCAATTCCTGTTTTTAAAATTAGTTAAATTTTGTAAATGTTCCATTTGTCCTTAGTAGACATTACAGGTAGTCCTCAACTTACAACCACAATTGAGCCCAAAATTTATGTTGCTGGCGAGAAATTTGTTAAGTGGGTTTTGTCCCATTTTATGACATTTCTCGCCACATTTGTTAAGTGAATCACTGCAGTTCTTAGTCACATGGTTGTTAAGTGAATCTGGTTTCTCCATTGACTTTGCTTGTCAAAAGGTCGCAAAAGATGATCACATGATCCTGGGACACTGCAACTGTCACAAATACGCGTCAGTTGCTCCAGCGTCTGAATTTTGATCAGGTGACCATGGGGATGCTGCAACGGTCATAAGTGTGAAAAACGATCATAAGTCACTTTTTTCAATGCCATAGTAACTTTGAACAGTCACTAAAAGAACTGTTGTAAGTCAAGGACTCCCTGTAATTGCTTTTTTAATGTGCAAAAAAGATTTACAATAACAGTCTCTCATTCCTGGAATTGCTAACTGAATGAGTTGATTTGTCCATAGTTTTTTCCTCTCACTGAAATCTTTCAAAGCTAATAAAAGACTTTAAAGATCTTGGGATTTTCACAATGAGGAAAAATTATAAGCTGCTCACCAAGTCCTTTGGTTTGCAAATATGCCTCAAGGAAAACAAGCAAAGGACATACGGTATGTTTGAAAATCTTATGCAAGCCCCCATATCTCCCTGAAGCTAACTGGGGCTACTTCTTGTCTTGTCTCTACCAGTCCCTCTCATGTGGCTCCCGGTAAGGCAACCCCAGATGTGCAAACACATCCTTTTCAGTAGGCGTGGACAGGACAATCCCAGATCCGGTTTTGAGGCCCTCTGGCCCTCGCACTACACCACTGCAGAGGGCGTGCTCTGACAGGCTCATGCCTTTAGTCCTGGCCAGGGCTCGCATGGAGCGGTTGAAGTGGGCTGAGCCTGTGAAGTACAACAAAGCACAGGCAAACTCTCTGTAGGGGACCACAATGATGTCAAGGCGTCTGTGGTGCTTGTCTGGGCCTGGCAAACGGCAGACTCCGAGGTACTTCTGCTGGGTGCCATTGTCTTCCTGATTCACCAAGTCATCCGTGAGAAAGCCTGAGCGGAAAGCACAATATGTGAGACAAATACTGTAATATTATTGCAAAAAATCGAGAAGTAAGTTGACACCAAGAGCTACCCTCTTACTTATATCTGTCTCAGGTCCTGCCTGAGGACTCAGATCAGTGTCCAAGAAAGAAAGAGAAGAGCTTTTCCCAGTATAGCAGCGATTACTGGTCCACAGTAGTCAGCGTTAGGGAAAAGGGCCAAGATCAACTCAAGCTAACAAAACTAGGCCTCTTCTGTATTCCTACTTACGTTTCTTTAAATCAGACATGTCAAACACAAGGCCCGGGGGCCAGATGCGGCCCGCGAAGTGGTTTTGTGGCCCGCAAAGCCATCCTGGAAACAGTGAGGGAATGGACCCCATTGCCTTGGCTCTGGCCCAGGCCGGCCGGGAGCCAATGTACAATTTTGTGGTGGCCATCTATGCTGAAATGCATTCAGTCTTAGCTCCACAAGGCCATCTACAAACAGCAAGGAATCAGCCCCTGCCGTGTCGGCCCCACCCCCTGGGTGCATGCTGGGGAGGTGTCACCCTTTATGAGGAATGAAAAAATGGACCATGCCTTGGTGCTTGCCCCAGTCCCACCCCCTTCTGCCAGAGACCCCCAGATCTGTCCCACTCCTGCCCAGGCCCCCACAGGCACCCTTGACGCGAACGATGTAGAGCTGGTCATGCCCATCCAGTAGGCCACACCCACTCCATCCACGCCCACCCAGTAGGCCTCACCCACCCTGGTCGCACCCACCCGGCCCCCCGAGGGCAACCGTAATGCTGATACGGCCCTCAATGAAATTGAGTTTGACACCCCTGCTTTAAATAGTTCTCAAGGTGGATATATTCAGGAATACGATTCTGAACTCCCACCCCCACCGCAGAACCAGCTGATATTCTCTTACCACTTTTATGAAGAACGTTGAGCAGTTTGCTGAATACTCCTTGGTGGGAGTGTCCATCAGGATGAGTCACCAGTACATCCACATCTCCACAAGTAGGTTTTCCACGCCGGAAAGAGCCACATGCTATACACACTAGTTCAGATATAATAGACTGAGCTGCTTTTCTAACCTTAAAGAGACAGATCAGAGAAATTAACTTCTCTCAAATACCACTTACTGAAATACCAACAATTCTCAACTTATGAAGGAGAGCATTGAAGCTCAGAGTTGAAATGAGGGGCCCTTGGTGCTTTCTGGGCTTGATTGTTTTCTTGCAGATGTTTCATTACCTGAACTAGGTAAAATCATCAGTGCTAATAATGCTAGCTAGCATCACATGCTATCGCTAGAAAACAACCAATCTCAGAGACCACCAAGGACCCCTCAGTCCTCAACTTACAACCACAATTGAGACCAAAGCTTCACTAAGGAAAATAAAGGAGCCACTGACAATTTTATGAATTTTTTGCTGCAGTCATTAAGCAGGTCACATGGTTGTTAAAGGAACCTGGATTCTCTCAATGACTTTGCTTGTTGGAAACTACCTGGGAAGGTCACAAATGGCGATCCTGTGACCCCAGGATACATTAACCATTGTAAATACATGCCAGTTGCCAAGTGCCCAAATTTTAATCACACGGCCGCGGGGACATGTGATGATAAGTGCAAGGACCAGTAATAAGTCACTTTTTTTAGCACCCTCATAACTTCAAACGGTTGTTAAAGAAATGGTTGTAAGTCAAGGAATACCTGTAATTCAATTGCCTAGCATCTCATTTGCTTGCGATGCATAAGAAATAAAACAAACTGAAAAGTAAGTGCCACCATAATCCAAATATTTTCTAATGAACGGTAAAGTAACATCATGGAAATAAAGGGGAAATTCCATTAGATTTATTCTGTTTCTCTTAGAATACAGGGAGAGGTAAAGAGTATAGACAGGGCACTGGAGCCCTGCCTCTTAATCATGGAAAATTCTACAGGGGCCCATTCATTCATTATAAATTTTCTATGTGCACAAAATTCAGAAATGGCATATAAGTTATGGAATAACAAAACATATACATCTATTACAAGATGTTGCTGTTCTTTAGGTAAACTCACGACAGTCCTTCCATTCCTTAAGAGTTATGCTACATAACTGGGAAAATAAAATTCTATGAAATGCCTATGATGCAAATGAGAATAAAGTTGGAATGGAGGTAGGCATTTTTAAAAGTTATTCTTTCACAGGACAACTAGTATGCAAGATGTACAGAGACCCAGAGAAGGCTCCACACTGAAAAGGATTCAATTTGGCCTTGCCTGAGATGGGCTGATTCTCCTGCTATAGGTCTGCATCTCTTACTTTGATATCATGTATGGGACCTTAATCACAAGAAACTGACTGTTCTTTCAGAAGTGCAGTTAAATATCAAGAAGTGGAACTACCAGTCCAATAAGTGTATGCCCAGTGATAAGTTCCCTGTCAGCCACTTTCCTTCACTGTCTTTATTAAAGCATCGTTTGAAGGTAATTTCGGTATGCAGGATTATCAGCATTATGATGCCAATCATCCATTTTACCAAACAAAGACATAGCTACCGGTTCAGAACATTGGGAGTGTGTGTGTGTGTGTGGGTGGGGGGGAAATCAGTTTAGAGGATGAGTGCCCCTTGTCAGTCTCCGGGATCATCCTTCATTAGTGAGGAATAAACCCATTAACCTTTGCCCTGCAACATTTGGAATCACCTTCATGGCTTTTCTAATGCAGATCTGCCCCCTCTGCATCCCCAATTAAGTTTTCTTGAAAGCAGCAAACCCCATACTGCACCTTGGATCTTCGACAGACAGCAGCTAATCCCCTCTTTCTCTTGTCTCTTCCCCGAGGTAGGCAAGAGAAGGGTAATCCCATCAATCCACAATAGGCCCATTCCCAAGGGCGGAGGCTCCCCAAAGAACTTTAATCCTATGTAAGGGGTGATGCCCTACCTGGCAACTATGCATTCTTTAGGGGCAGGCACTGTGACTGAGTGACAGCGTCATGCTGCCCAGTGCTGCCATGGCAATTCCACTGTACAACAGGAACAATGAAAAGGGTTTTTATGTGGCTTAGATCTCTGAATTTAAAGAGCTGCATTAATATATAAACCTGAGGTGTGGTCCAGCCCAAACATATAAAGACAAGGGAGAAAACATTTGGCTAGAAGAGTGCAAAGCACTGTTTCCTTACCAAGAGAGCAAAGAGAGAAAGTCACAGATGTTTTTGTCATCATCCTACCAGTTATCTGAGAATTATTTAGAGAAGGATTGGCATAACATATTGGGAATTTATTAAAGGCTTCCTAAATTGATTTTAGGTCAGGTACAAAGACTCGCAGAGCATAGAAATAAAAATATATTAACACGGATGGAGGTTTTAATTTTTTACTTAGTCAGTTGTAAGGAACTCCAACTTTCTAAAAAAGGAAATCTTCAATTTCTGCAGTAAATGTGCTTAAAAAGGGAAATTGATTTCTGATAGACAGAAGTATGGATGTGATTAGAGCCATGTTTCTTTGCTTTTGTGCAAATATGGAGAGAGGGGGGGGGGAGGGAGCATGGCTTCAAATAAGAGGTTTCATTAAGAGTCATGGCTTGGGTGGCTGGTATATAAAAGGAAGTTAAGTTAAGCCAGTCTTCCTCAGCCTGTGCTATTTGAAAGTAGAAAAAAAATGTGCTCTCCAGTTGTGAAAGAACATGAGGTCATAAAGTCTTAGGTGGTGCTTTTTTCTATGACAGTAACATTAAATAAGACAAGAGTGAGAAATCAACTCCACAGGCAGGCTAAAACTACTTTTACTGAGATTAGCTATAATAACTGAGCCTTGAAAGTCTGGTTGTACATCTTCCCCCTTTGTACACTCTTATGAATCAATGAGGTGCCTGCCTGAGTCACTTCCAAATGTTATCTTACTTCTTTGGATTTAAAAAAAAAATCCACTCCATTTTGCCTTGGTAACAGTTCTTGATATTTTCATCAAAGTCATCTGCCTTATTATCTACACTCTAATAAAGAAGTGTCCATTTTGATAAGCTGCTCCAAGGCAGGTATACTTGGTGTGGCACCTTGCCTCTTTGCAGGGCAAGGTGACTCCCAGTTTTAGCATCTGAAATAGTAAACTAAAGAGGGGAATGCCCCCAAAATATCTACGCGAGTAATAAATTTGAAAGATGGGTGGAATCAACATGGAAAATATGCTAGTGTTTAAGTAAATGGTACCTCTAATATGGTATTCTTTTGGAAAATATTTTGGGGAGTTTTATTTGGCAAGCTGTCAAATGGGGAAAAAATATGAGTCATCAACAAAATCAAGACCGAATAGCATTATGATTAAAATCTGGTGAAAAATAGCATATGATATTCTGTCAACATCTTGCTATAGTTTCAACAAGGTACCCACAGTCTGTTCAATTTCAGCAGCTTCCTGCCGTGGCATGCGCTCCAAGAAGTCCTCATAATACTTAAGGCCGATAGCTTGCTGGCTGGTGAGAGAGGCCCTAGTGCGGATGTCATGCAGAGTGCGAAAACCCTGGGTAGAACACGTAACAGAAATATAGGAATTTTGTTTTCAGTAATCCTTAATAGGCGATATCATAGAAACTAGAACTGATGTGGTGTCATTGGAATGACAACACCCAATGCGCTGTTTGCAATATTGTCCTAATTTCCCCCTGCAAATCACGTACAATGCTGAGAAGGTATCATATTTTTTCACGAACAGAAACTCAAAACGCGTGAGCATTNGAGAGAGAGAGAGAGAGAGAGAGAGAGAGAGAGAGAGAGAGAGAGAGAGAGAGAGCATGGCTTCAAATAAGAGGTTTCATTAAGAGTCATGGCTTGGGTGGCTGGTATATAAAAGGAAGTTAAGTTAAGCCAGTCTTCCTCAGCCTGTGCTATTTGAAAGTAGAAAAAAAAAAGTGCTCTCCAGTTGTGAAAGAACATGAGGTCATAAAGCAGAGGCGTAGCGTGGGGGGTGCAGGGGGGGCCGGCCACACCGGGCGCAACATCTGGGAGGGCGCGCTTGCACTCGCAGCTCTCTGCCCCTGCCTGTGCGAATCCGATCCGAGCTGCTGGGTCGCTGCCCACTGTGGAGGGGGGGGCGCAAATTACTTGCCTTGCCCCGGGTGCTGACAACCCACGCTACGCCACTGTCATAAAGTCTTAGGTGGTGCTTTTTTCTATGACAGTCACATTAAATAAGACAAGAGTGAGAAATCAACTCCACAGGAAGGCTAAAACTACTTTTACTGAGATTAGCTATAATAACTGAGCCTTGAAAGTCTGGGTTGTACATCCTCCCCCTTTGTACACTCCTATGAATCAATGAAGTGCCTGCCCGAGTCACTTCCAAATGTTATCTTACTTCTTTGGATTTTAAAAAAAAAATCACTCCATTTTGCCTTGGTAACAGTTCCTGATATTTTCATCAAAGTCATCTGCCTTATTATCTACACTCTAATAAAGAAGTGTCCATTTTGATAAGCTGCTCTAAGGCAGGTATACTTGGTGTGGCACCTTGCCTCTTTCAGGGCAAGGTGACTCCCAGTTTTAGCATCTGAAATAATAAACTAAAGAGGGGAATGCCCCCAAAATATCTACGCAAGTAATAAATTTGAAAGATGGGTGGAATCAACATGGAAAATATGTTAGTGTTTAAGTAAATGGTACCTCTAATATAGTATTCTTTTGGAAAATATTTTGGGGGGTTTTATTTGGCAAGCTGTCAAATGGGGAAAAAATATGAGTCATCAACAAAATCAAGACCGAATAGCATTATGATTAAAATCTGGTGAAAAATAGCATATGATTTTCTGTCAACATCTTGCTATAGTTTCAACAAGGTACCCACAGTCTGTTCAATTTCAGCAGCTTCCTGCCGTGGCATGCGCTCCAAGAAGTCCTCATAATACTTAAGGCCGATAGCTTGCTGGCTGGTGAGAGAGGCCCTAGTGCGGATATCATGCAGAGTGCGAAAACCCTGGGTAGAACACGAAACAGAAATATAGGAATTTTGTTTTCAGTAATCCTTAATAGGCGATATCATAGAAACTAGAACTGATGTGGTGTCATTGGAATGACAACACCCAATGCGCTGTTTGCAATATTGTCCTAATTTCCCCCTGCAAATCACGTACAATGCTGAGAAGGTATCATATTTTTTCACGAACAGAAACTCAAAACGCGTGAGCATTCATTTACACGGACACACACACATACACCACACACACACACAAAGGTCATGGTGTTGCTACTGGAAAACACCATAGTGATTCCGAATGAATCTGATGCTTTTGCATAAACTGTTGCTACTGGTAATAAAGGAAAAAGATTGATACAAATAAAGTTAACGTATCTTTATATACACTATAAGGTAGGAAAAGAGGACACTAGCATTATGTGTCCAATATAGACAATATAAAATCTCCAGAGGAAGTCCCCTGAATAAATCATAACTAAAAAAGTAGCAATACAAATATAAACTCATATGCCTTGCAGCAAAGATATAACATGAACAAATAGAAGGCAATGACCACAGAATAATTGCTACATAGAGGATAGAGAATTACCTGCTGGTACCACATCTGGCTAGTCTTTACTCCTGCTCCCCATATATTGGAAAATAATTCTAGCACTGAGACACTGTCACTGATGTGGTCAAGTTTTCGAAGGTGCCCACTCTCCAGGATTTCTACAATCTTTTCTGCCATCTGTTTTCCAATTCCAGGAATCTTACAGGCTTCCTGAAAGAACAATGAAACTAGTTCAAAGCAAAGCTCAAACACTGATTTACTCTGAGTATTTTAGGGATGCTGTGTTTCATTATCCCTAGTGCATACCTAACTTGCTAATATAGACCCCATCCTAAAAAACTATGATTAGTATTTAGAAAACTATGCAAGCTTTATAAACACACCCTTGTATCTTTTACTTTTGGCCTACTGATCTTTTTTCTAAATCTCAAGGCAGCTTCAGCCTTTCTCTGCACTCTTTTCAAAAGATCAGAAGTGCAGCATAATCATGTTAAAAGTTTCTGCATTTACATTGTAGAATTAGTAAAATACTTTCCAAAAAGCAGGATGGAATAATAGGGATATTGTAAGTAGGATGCAGGCCTCAGCTGTTTGAAATTACTTGTCTATATAGCATTAAAGAGAACACAAATTGGAACTTTTCCTGGAAAAAGAAAATAAAAAATACTAAGCCAGAAAGGTACCTTGGAGAAAGTAGGTATGTGACAGAAAAACATGCATGCTTAGTAAGCTTTGTCTTATTTACCTGATAAGATGTAACAGGTTTATGATAACTCTTGAGCGCATTAATGGCTTTCGAGTAGCTTAGACCCCTCCACTTGTCTCCTTGGACAGTGTAGGCTTTAGCCAGCACTTCCAGCTTCTCTGTAATGCACTGATTATGATTAGTTTTCTTGCTTTCAGAAGACTGAGCGCAAACCCACTTGCCAGGGGAAATGCCCGCTGATGAGCCTTCTGACGAAGTGTTCAGCTCCTGACCTGACCTCAGTGCCTTCAGTTCTTGCAGAGTGACAACAGCTTTGTCCTCTTCAATTTCTTCATCACCTAACATCCTCTTTGAGATACACAGAACAAGCAGAAGAGGGAGCAATGAAATTGAGTGATCATTTATCCAATCACAGAATATGAGCTCATTCTGCCACAATATATAGACATTGTAAAGTATGGGACACAATTCTTCATTTTCTTTGTTTCTTTTGTAATATTTGTCTTGCTTTTATCTTGTTAAAATTTCTTCAATAAAAATTATATTAAAGAAATAAAAATAAAATACAGAGCAGAATTAAGACCCATGAGAAATAATCACAGAAACCCAGAGTCAAAGCAAATATCAATTGAACTAACAGTTTCATATCTACAATTTATGTTCCTAGTAATGGTGATCAAGAACTAGGAAGTACAGATGGCAAAATATCTGGGATGACCAAAATACAATTGATTGTCATGGTAAATGTGTTCTATGTTTAAAGCATGGTAAAAAGTAATAATGAATATTTTGTTCCATGTTTTACAGTTAGTAGGTATTTGCCAACTCCACATTCTATAGCCGTAAGAAGGAACCAAAATTCCATATATGATACCTTGGGTACCCTATTAGGAAGCTCAGAACAGAAAAATATTGAACAACAGTTTTTACTTTTTATTCAGTGAAGTCCAGATACCATATCAAAGTCTTTAGGAAATTTACAAAATGCAACCAGAATATTTTGAAATTATGTTGTAACCCACCCAAAGTCATTGGATATGAGATGGGTGACAAATACATTTCATTCATAAATAAATAAGGCAAAAAAATAAATAAAGGCTAAATGTACACCAATATACTTTGAATGGAGAACTGCATGATAACAGAATTTACCACATATTATTTTTTCTATTTTCCTATAATTCTCTGAAAAACAAACATAAATAAAAGACACATGCTTTATAAGCCTAGGTTTACTAAGGATGCTTTGATTTTTATTCAGTTTGTTTATTTAAATATTTAAATTTTAAAATGTATAAATAAAAAAAAACACTTTTGGATTTATTTATTTTTAAAAAAGTATAAACTGGGCAATTTGTTTTCACAATCTCAAATAGTAAGGTGTTTCCAAACCTTAGATAAGAGTTTGGCATTGGCTAACTTTAACAGAAAATCCCTGGCTTAGCCTAAAAATGTGTAATTAGGCTCACATGTGTAGCTTCCTATTGATCCTAGAAATTTACAGGTAGCCCTCATTTAATGACCAAAATTGGGACCAGAATCTCTGCCACTAAGTGAAGTGGTTGTTACGTGAGATGCCTACACAACCACTTCACTCAGTGACCACAATCCTGGCACTCGCAGTGCAATCATTAAGCAATTGCATAGTAGTTACACAAAGGGATTCCCAGGAAACACAAGTGGAGAGGCAGGAAGAGAAGGATTTTAGCACAGAGGAGCTCTTCAGCCTCAGAGAGGCAGGGAGAAAAGGATTTTAGCTCTGTGATTTCTTTTTCCCTGCTGCCCCATGCCTGTGGAGCTCATACCTACAAGATTGCAAATGGTAATCACAAAATTGCACTGCACTTGATTACTGATCGTAAGTGTAAATAGGTTGCCCAGCACCCAGTTTAGGAGGCACATAACGTTTTATAAGGGCCAGAAGTGCCCTTCTAAAATATTTAAAGCACCCTTTCCAAAACTGCCATAACTTCAAACAATTATTACGCAACTGTTCGTAAGTCAAAGACTACCTGTTCAGTATCACAGAAAGAGCTGATCTCAGTGTTTGATTCTTCTTTCAGTTCCATAACTGTGTTCTCTGCTTTGGGGTGAACCTTAGGTAATGGTGACTGTTTCATTGAAAAGCCTGTCTCATCCAGATATCTGCCAAGAATTAACAAACAACAAATAATTGGATTTGGGGCATTTCTCTTATCAACTAAAGGCAGATGAAGAATAATATAAAACAGGACTAGGAAATTCATTTGAGATATACTCTTCTGAAAGATGTGGTGGGGGGTGTTCAGAGCTTGCTTTAGTGAAGTATCTATTCTGATTTCCAAATGTTTGCTATTTATATTAAACAGGCACATACTGGAACAAAAAGATTATCACATGTACTTACATTCTATTAGTCACACACTGGTTTTACAGAACCAATTCTAAGATTTCTGCTGTATTTTTTGGCCTCCTAAACATACCATTGGCCTCTCTTTCAACAATGTCACACTGTGTTCATCACTGCAATTATATATTGGTACGATTCAGTGAAAAGGTTTAGGCATTCTTGTCAAATTATAAAATTCCAAAGAATTCAGAAAGTAACAGAAGTGAAACATATTTTCTGAAAATGTGAATATTTACTTATTATTTATGTGCAGTTATTTATAGATTCAAAATAAGAAAACAGTGAATTTGGCCAAAGAAAAAAATAGGTGTCCTTTCTTTTAATATTTTATATCATGTCCTTTGGCCAGAATTACAGCTTCCAAATATTTTCCTGTAGCTAAGCTGTTTTATTCTTGTTTGGGAATTTTCTTCCCATTCTTTCCTGTAGTTCTAGTTTCTTCTAGTTCAGAAATATTCTTAATCTCTTGCACATGATGTACATTTGAGATTTCTCACATATATTCAATAATATTCACCTTCGTGGAAAATGGAGCCCATTTCCAACAAATCAATAGAGAAATCAAATATGTACTTAATAAGAAAGACATATTTGATTCAGAGCATGTTTTGGACTGCTGTCTTGTTAAAATATCCAGTTACACTTCAGCTTAATTTTTTTTTAAACTCCCTGACTGCTTTCATGTAGATGTTAAACAACAGAGGAGAAGACAGAATCCCATGGAACACCGCATGTGAATGATCTACATTTGAGCAGCAATGTCCCCACATCATCTTCTGGGTCATTCTAAGAGGAAGAATTGGAATCACTGCAAAACAGGTGCTCCCAAGGCTCAGGCTTGCCATATAACCCATTGATCTGAAGGATACTATGATCAATGCTATAGAAGCTACTGAGAGATCCAAGAGAAACAGCAGTTACATTCCATTCCATATGGAGGTAGTTCTCATGACCACAATTGAGCCCAAAATTTCTGTTGCTGAGTGAGACCTTTGTTAAGTGAGTTTTCCCCCATTTTACAAACTTTCTTGCCACAGTTATTAAATGAATCACTGCAGTTGTTAAGTTGTTAAGTGAATCTGGCTTCCCCATTGACTTTGCTTCTCCTGGGATACTACAACCATCATAAATATGAGATAGTTGCCAGGTGTCAGAATTTTGATCCTCATGACCATGGGGATGCTGCAACGGTTATAAGTGTGAAAAATGGTCATAACTCATTTTTTTCAGTGCCACTGTAACTTCGAATGGTCACTAAACGAACTGTTGTAAGTCGAGAGCTACCTATAGTTTCTTCTTAGCTCACCTACGCAGTGTTTCTCAACCTTGACAAGTTTAAGGCATGTGGACTTCAACTCCCAGAATTCCACAGCCAGCAATGCTGGCTGTGGAATTCTGGGAGTTGAAGTCCACATGCCTTAAAATTGTCAAGGTTGAGAAACACTGTACTACAGTAACCAAAATAGGTTCAGTGTTATTTCCCGGATGAAATATCCAGTAAAATCAGCATCCAAATAATCAAAGCCACCACTTTCTCAGACGCTTTCTGGAGAAATAGGATATTTGAGACTGGCTGATGGTTCTATTAAAAATATTGAATAAAGTTCTTTTTTCTATTGCATTTTGAAGATGAATTATCAGTTTTGCAGAAACCTTCCTCATTCAAATTGGATAAAGAATTTAAAAGAGAGACCTACTTCTCTGGGATGATGAGTCTATAGTCAGTAGTGTCCAAGATGTGCTGTACTGTAATACAAGAACTCAGCCATGATGCCTTAACCAGTTGCAAACCCTGAGGTAACTTTTTGAGTTTGAGGAGCCGAAAAGCCCGATCAAAATCCATGTCTTCATCCACTATTACATGTGTCACATCTGGGGAAAGCTGGCTGCAGATGTGTCCTCCGTTGTGAATAATCTTCTTACAGAAGATCTCAGCTCTGGCCTGGCCAATTCCTGCTTGCAACACATAAGCTGTGATTGGCTCCAACCACCCTGGTAAAAATACCATAGAGAAAGATGACCAGCAAAATAGGGTTAGGTAACAAATCTTTTCAGAATGAAGAAAATCTGATCGTTTGATGAAATATAATGAAAGTTAATGTTTTATAACATATATAGTCATGTTATTATATTACTGCACTGTAGAGACTGAACTTTTTAAGGATTAAGTCATTTCTCTGAAAGGAACCATAAAATTAAACCACATAAATTAATAGCAGTGCAAGCCACATCATGAGAACTTCACATGATTAAAGTCAGAAAGAAAGAAAGAAAGAAAATCACCTTGCTGATTCTGGATTTCTTCTTTCCAAATCTTTAAAGGCACAGTGTGTACATTTTCTCTCAACTTCTTTCGTTTGCGGAAAGCTTTGACAATTCCTTGAGGCTCCATGGGCCATAGATGTCTCCTTCTCTAACAGGAGGATGCAGATTTGCTGAAGATGTAGGAAGGAAAAGTAAAAATAATACATTTAATGATAGGTAACTCATAGATATCCTTTTGTCAATGTTCCATCATTCTAGAACAGATTAATAGTTCTAATACATATCCCACTCAGTCACTCACAGAAATGACCCTTTTCATTATGCTTAATCTAATACATTTGAAGATCGGTAAAATTAGCATTTCATAATTTATGTACCTGGTAACTATATATAACTATTTCCTTATATCTCTTTGGCACTGTCAGCTTATATTTTTTAGCACTACTGGGAATGTTATTTTGCTGAGGTTTAGAGAAGATAAGGAGATACATTTGGGGAGACAATTGGAAACACAGAGGGAATAGGTCTGGGATGGAAAATTAGAGTTGAATGTCATCTGCATAAGGGTGTACAGAAAATCATTGGATTTTACAAGATCTCCTTAGGATAGCATGTATATTTTTTTTTACTTGAGAGCAAAACTTTAATACATTTAAATATATTGTAATATATATTATAATGTATATCATGTACACATTACAAGTAGTAAACTGTATATTGTTTTCCTGTTTAGGAACAGTATCATATATGAAACAGTTCTTATTGTAACTTTCCTTGAAATGTCTAGCTGGCCTTACTTTAGAAGAACAGAGTCCTAAAATTAGGAAGAGCAAGGACAATATGATACTTATGATCTATAAATATGGGAATTAAGCTGGGAAGTATTTTATGAATTCAGAACCCACATGAGTCAGATCACTAGTCCAGTAATGTCAATACTGTTGGGTTAAATTTTCCTAGTAAAAGTAAAGACCACAGAATCTGAACCAAAGATTTTCTGAACATAAAACATGTGCTCAAACACTATAAGCTATGGTTCTTCTATCCCAGATTCAATGTTCAACCTCTTTCGTTAAAAGAATAATGAATAGCCATGCTATTAGAGACCAGTGTTAAGAGTTGGAATCTGAATTTGTAGGACTTTTGCCCTCTGCAATCTCTATCCTGGAAACTGTGATCTAAGTCTCTGACATAACCAATAATGAAAAATATAGCAGCTAAAAATAGTAATAACGTGAATATTGTTACTTTTAAGTATCATGTTGTTACATTTTAAACCAAATGGCGTAGTCTTTTATTAAAATTAATGGACAATTTGATCAGGAGCTGAAGCAAAAGGTAACAGCACTACATTAATTTGATTTAAAATAAAAGTGCCTACAAGTAATCTTTCATGGGTTTCTCCCAGGAGCGCCTTCCCCAATTCAGCGTTACTCAGATGCACTTCCCACAAACTCCGCTTTACACGACATGCCAGCCAAAGATTATAGTATTTGAAATCCACGCAAATTGTGGGACTCCGCTCTAGAAGGAGTGGGGACAGACCAACAGAGTAAAGCCCGAACTGGTTTGCATCTCTTCGGAGCCCGCGCTAATCCGGCTCATCGCAGTCCAGAGACCGCCCATTTAAGAGCGTCTGAATTGGGAGGCGGGATGAGAGCCAGCCAAAGGTTCCTTGACAGTCAGGGCCAAATCACCGCGGCGCTCCTCTAACCAGGGGTCCTCAACCGTGGCAACTTTAAGACTTGTGGACTTCAACTCCCAGAATTCCTCAGCCAGCTTTGTTGGCTGAGGTATTCTGGGAGTTGAAGTCCACAAGACTTAAAGTTGCCAAGATTGAGGACCCCTGCGTCTAGCCCCGGGGTAGGCAACCTTGGCTCTTTTATGACTCGTGGACTTCAACTCCCAGAATTCCTGAGCTGAAGTCCACGAGTCATAAAAGAGCCAAGGTTGCCTACCCCTGGGACTCTAGCCCATTGCCGCCCGCTGCTGCTTTTCCAGTGATGATTGAGGGGCGCCGCGCCGCTCTGCGACGCTGCCTGAACCCACCTATCCACCTATGTTGCCCCTCTGGCTGGAGTGGGGGGTGGGGCTTGCCCCAGAGAAAGGCCGAGGAGAACGATATCGATGGTAACGTTCACTTACCGACGGTATTGCTGTGACGCCAGAACGACCTGCGCGCGGCGTCTTCTTCCGTGTCAAGGGACGAAGAGCCGGAAGACCGGGAGGGTTGCCTTGGTAACGTGCCTAGCCGAGCCGCAACATGGCGGGGACCAGCTGGCTGGAGCGGTTGCGGGCGTCTCGCAAGACCGCCCTGCTCTCGGATGGTAACCGGGTGGCGGGAACTGGGATTGTGGTGATCTGGGGAAATGACCCGCCGGTCACGGGCAAGTGGGCAGCGGCTGAAGTTGGGGAGCTTTCTAAGGTGGGAGAATCCAGGCAGTTCCGGTCTCCAGTTGGCGAGGAGGCTGAAGCCTCGTGTTGCCTTCGTTTTTGGGTGCGGCGACCTAGTCGGAATAGACCAGTGTTTCTCAACCTTGACAATTTTAAGGCATGTGGACTTCAACTCCCAGAATTCCACAGCCAGCAATGCTGGCTGTGGAATTCTGGGAGTTGAAGTCCACATGCCTTAAAATTGTCAAGGTTGAGAAACACTGAATAGACTGAAGATCAAATTTTAAAATCTCCTCTAAGTTGTTTTTTTTTTTTAAAGGAGTAATGGAAAACATTCCCGAGTCTGTTTGTTTCTAATTGAATTGTAGTCACCACTGTGGGGGAGCATGAGGAAATCAACCCGTTAACATTGGTGCTTACTTCCACCAAAACTTGTCTTTAGAAGAGGAGTAATTTGGATGGAGGGCTGTGAGGCATTTGGAGTCTCTAAACGTCACTCTGGCCAAGTGGGGGAAAGCATGTTGAGTCTGTGGGATGGGATTTCCTCCTATTTCTTCCTTTTAGGTCCACCCATCCTGTGCTCTCTTTTAGGTAAACGAAAAATCCATTACTTGTTTGAGGATGGGAAGGAGATGGCAGAAGAGTATGACCTGAAAACACACCAGCTACTCTGTAAGCCAGCCAACTTTTCTTACTTATAGTTAAACATGGGAAATGTGAATGGCATAGGTAGATTTGAAAGACAGGTTTTGCCTTTAATAATCTTGCACATTCTGCAAGTCAGTGAAGCAAATTTTGCAATGAAAGATCCATACTAGGGAAGGGAAGTGAAATCAGTGTTGGCCTTGCCGCTGAGATTACAGAGCTAGGCTACATGTCTTTATCTGTTTCCTTATCCATAGCATTAACCTTAAGCATTGATGTCTCAGTTATACTACAGTATCTGATGAAACTAAAAATTAATCCACTCATTGTATTGGTATTGCTCCTGAGATTGCATGGCTTTATCATGCTTCTCTTGAGATGCAAGCAGGGATTCAAGGGCACAATGCTGTGATAGGTTTTTTTTTGTTGTGTGTGTGTTTTTTGTTTTTTTTTTGAGAATGACCACCTACTATAGATCAAATGCAGGCTTTATTTTTAGTGAAATCAAACTTTATATTCTTGCACTTTAAATGAGTGATCATAACCCAGGAACCCACCTGTATTCTGTTTCTGCAAAAGAAAAGAGGCATAATTAAAAATAATTTGAAATCAAAAATTGACTTAATATGCTGTAGTATATCTCAATTGGGAATATTTTCCTGAAAAAATATATCGATTTTTTCTCTATCCTTGTCCTTTCTGTGCAGTAAGAAAATGGAGAGAGAAGAATGCTCTGGGCGCATTCGGCAATTGGGAGGTTGAAGTGGGAGAACCCACATTGCTTGCAGCAGGAACACTGGACCGTGAGTTCATAAAGGAGAGCAATACCAATGTAAATACAATATTTGTACCTCAGCATTTGATATTAGGGGAAAATATACTTTACCCAATTTCTCTATCTTGATTTTTATTCATTTAGGAAATACAGTAGTATGTAAGGCTTTCTTTGTTTACTAAGCTGCATGAATAATCCAGAATGTTAGAAACGTCCATTATGCTCTTCATTTCTACTTTGTCTTTTTCCTATATATAAAGGTTTATGTGTTAAATGTGTTGTTATGCTGTTCCTCTAGGAGTTCAATACAACTTATGAAGCATTTGTTTCTTCCAATTTTTCCTCACAACATGATAAAAGTTGAACTAAGAGATAGCAACCATCCTTTAAATTTCAATGTAATTTAAACAGAGAAATTACAATTGAAAGCTCACTATGGTCAAAAATAACTGAATTAATGTTGGGTGGAGACATTTTTGTAAATATGAAAAGTTTAATATGGAGAGACTCATGTTCAAGTCCATTCTTAGCCATGGAAGGTCACTAGGTGTCTTTGAGCCAGTCACTTTCTTTCAATCCAAGCTCCCCACAAACTTTTGTTTGGGTACAAATGGGATGAAGGAGTGCCAAGTAAACCACTGTCAGCTCCTCAACAAAAGGCAGCATATATTTCTAACAAATAAATGTTTTGAATTTTTTTATTATACATAGCAGCATGCAAGTGTTAAGTTTAACACAATAGTGATATGTCATTATATGATATTTTATAAATATAATTTTTTTTAAAGTAGATGTTAATAAAACCAGCCTTACTTTAAAAACTGGATGAATCTGTACTATACTAATTTGTGCATCTGTTTAAATGTTATGAGGTGAAGGGGTGCACACAGCTAAAACAGTTACACTGTAAGCCCTTGGAAAGTAAATATGTTTCCAGCTCTTTCCTGAATTCTAATGAGGAGGCTTGCTTTAATTCCACTGACAATTTATTCCATGACACAGGCTATAATTTAGTCAAAAATGCCAAAAGCTAAATGATTTTTTAATAAAGGGTTTATGCTCTGCATTGTGGTTCTGCCTTAAAGTTAGGATCTCTTTCAAATGTTCTACCTGCATAAACTCAGAAAGTTCAGATTGCCCAGGAGGTGCTGATGCAGTTTTACAGAGGAATTATTGAGTCTGTCATTTGCACTTTTACAACTGTCTGGTTTGGTACAGCAACCAAACAGAACAGGTACAGAATCCAACAGATAGTCAAGACTGCAGAAAGAATAATTGCAACCAGTCTGCCTTCCATAGATGACCTCTATATTGCGCGGGTCTGAAGGAGGGCTGAGAAAATATTTGCAGACCCTTACATCCTGGACACAAACTCTTTTAGCTCCTTCCCTCAGGACGGTGCTATACGGTATTGCATGCCAAGACATCTAAATATAGGGGCAGTTTTTCCCCTTATGCCATCACTCTGCTGAACACCTAATTCAAAGGTGTATGTGTATCAACCCATAGAGTGTGGCTGTAATATTATTTATTCCTTTTTGATTACCTTCTTTACTTTTCCTTTTATTGGTATGGTTCACTGCACAGTCAGCCAGATGTTCAGACTGGATTTAGCATTTTTGTTCTCCTGTCAGGTCCTTCCCAAGGACCTGGGATAGGCAGATGTGGATGTTTTATGGTGTTAGAGGTATCATTGCAGGATTTCTCTGTGGCCTTGTCAAGTACACTGAGTGCTTCTGTACCAGAGACAAATCCCTGGTGTCTAACCACGCTTGGCCAAATAAAGTATTCAATTCAAATTAGAAGACTTAGGGAAATGGTGGATATTGTGTTATTTTTGCTTGACCAGCAGCAAGTAATGTCCTAGGAATCCACATAAAGCAGAAAATATGTCTTATTTTGAATTTCCTTCAGCAGCTTCCATTATAACTTATCTGAACTAGTCACCTCTGCCCCTGAGGGAGAAATGGACAGCCACCCTGGAATCAGTTGATCTGACAGAAGAATAGTCACAAGGGTTGGAGACTTTTAAAACATCTGAAAAATGTTCCAGCAAATCTGTGTCGATATAAGAACATCATGGCAAACCAAATCGCTTATCAGCTGTTAAAAAGCAGAGTTAAGGGGAGGGACTTGAGAAATGCAGGCTCCCAAGGACAAGGGAAAGGGAGGCCAGAGTATTGACCTCACCCTTTGATAGAGAAGAAGTGGAAACAGCAATTCAAGATATGAAGAATGGTAAACCACTGGGATTGGATGATAATCGTGTTGAACAAATAAATTTTTTGGGAGATTTTAGAAGCAATGGTTGTTATCCCCTTTTAATGCTTATGTGGCCTCAAAGTGTATTCTGAAGATCTGGAGGAAAGGTGGGTTATCATACTTTTGAAACCCAGGAAAGTACCAAATGATCCAAAGAACTTTCGTCCAAGTTCCCTCCTCTGCCATCCCTTTAAATTCTGTGAGAGAGTTCTGTTAAACAAAATGTTTCCTACGATCAGCCAACTCTTATTTCCCAACAAGCTGATTTCCAGCCAAAGATGTCCTGCACAGGTCAGTTACTTGAACTTGTTCAGCACATAGAGCCGTGCTGGCGAACCTGTGGCACGCAGAGCCCTTTCCGTGGGCACGTGTGCCGTCACCCCAGTCCTAGGCCTTCAGCTGGGTTTTATAAAACCTTTTTGCTTTAGGCCTCCACCGCCGTGTGCAAAAAAAAAAAAGAAGGTTCAATCAATCAATTTCAACTTCTCGTGAAAAACAAAATATCTCGCAAAGTTGGAATTGATTGATTGAACTTTTTAGTCCTACACAGTCTGCCATTACCACCGAAGCCACGCCCACCCAATGGGCCACGCCCACCCAATGGGCCACGCCCACTCAGCACCTGATGATACATAAGTGGGTTTTGGGTTGCAGTTTGGGCACTCGGTCTCTAAAAGGTTCGCCATCACTGACATAGAGGATGGCTTTCCATCAGGTCTATCATGGAAGCTGCTTTCATGGATTTATCTGTGGCTTATGACACAGTTAATCACAGGAAGCTTCTCCTGATATTATATACCGTAGTTATCACTCATGACCTTGCTTTGACTAAATGATTGAGGCAATACTTGAAAATTGGCTCTTTTTCATTAACTTCCAGGGGAAAAAAGAATCAGGGAAGAGCCCAGCAACACGGTATCGACCTGTTGGTCTTGATACATTGTATTTCATCTACACTGATGGTTTGGCACTTACCACTCAGGAACCAACTTTGAGGAGGTGGAAGAGAAACTTACTCTGGCTCTTTAAGAATATGTTGGAATATTATAATGAGAATGGACTAAAATCTAATCCATCAAAAAC